TTCTGGGTCTCTTATTTTTCCAAATGAATTTCATGATTGTTTTTTCTAGTTCTATGAAGAATGTCATTGGGATTTTCTACATATAGAAATCAATAAATGTAATTTATCACATCAATAGACGTAAAGACAAGAATCATATGATTATTTCAATTGATGCAGAAAAAAACATTTGACAAAATGCAACACCTCTTCATGTTCAAAGTACTAGAAAAACTAGGAATAGTAGGAACATAGACTTACCTTCTGATGCTACTTTTTTGCTTCCCAAACTCCCCTCTAAATCTGAACTACCTCTTTAGACTCCTCAAATAACCATTCTACATTTTTTTAACCTGATGTCTCAGCTTTAGGTTGCTACCACTGTATACACTAGAGACTATTAGCATTGTGGTGGTGGCAGGTGGGTAGTAAAAAACATGATTCTAGAATAGACTACTGCATATGCTATTTGCTAGCTATGGCCTAACCTCTCTTCTCTAAGCAGTTTTGTATTGGCAAAATAATATTGGTAATAACATCCACTGTGAAATTTTCATGAGGAGTAAAGGAAATTACATGTGGAAAGCACCTAGTATCTATAATTGAGTAATTAAATGTGTTGGTGTTAATACTGATGTTGTTCATAAAGATAACTTCTGACCTTACTAAAATTCTGTTCACTTTAATATTCCTCTAGAATGCTCTTCCTACTATAAATTTACTGAGTCCATACATTAGAAATGCAATTGTTTTCCATTAAGCCTTCTACAATTGTTCCTCCTATTTCTTAAAATTCTTTGCTTATATGCTTTATATTTTACAAATATTTACTTGTGAACATGTCACATTTCTTCCACTGAATTCTAAATAAGTAAGGTGTAGAATTTGTGTATCTTTGCATTCACTGGGACCTCAGTGACATAGAGCCATAGGCTTCATGGCTTCTCAATAAAAAATCTGTAGACTGGTTTTGTAAAAGACACTGTGGTTGACTCTTCACAAATTAATTAATACAAGATCAAGACCTTTTGATATCATCGTGCAAATATATGTCAATATAGCTATATTGCTATTTGGACATTAAATAATACTTAGTAGATATCTAAAGCAATGTGAATTGGCCAAGTGGGCCTAATTTTGCATATAAATCACTCCACTACATTCATCCTTCTTTTCATGTGTAATCAAATATTAAATAAGTAAAAGTTTAATTGACTAAATGCTACTCTTTGCTGTGGGTTGTGGTTCCTGCAAAAGAATCTCATTCAGACAAAATAAGTAGTACTGGGCTTGGGTGTCACACAGTACACAGGCTAAAAGCCAAGAGGTTTCTCAGGGGAGTTGCCACAGGTTTCAATGGAATGACAATTACAAGGTAGATGGATCATGTCATGCCTGCTGTGACCTTTACAATACATGAGGATCATTATTTTAATGTTAATTTGCATAATAGTGGCTTAGCAGGAACAATGCTGAATGCTAATAGCTGCAGGATGCAATAAAATTAAACATTATCTGGGCTGAACAGCTAAAGGAAAAGTTGCCAAACTATGACTCTTCAAGCACTTAATCTCATCCCAGGTCATGTCCACACACAATCAAATATGGATTTCCAGTATCTCTTGAAAAATTGGCAAGAAATGACTGAAATGGAACAGTATTAACTTCCTTAATCTAGAGGCCTTATTTGAAAGTCTTTGAATTTTTACATAATTTGTTTGTCCCTGATGAGGTATTTGTATTTACAACTTCCTTGATCCTTGCCCAAACACTCCTTACCCCACCCTTACCCCTCACCACATTTGCTGGCAGATATATCCAATTTCATAATCCCAGAAAGTATTAATTTTACCCTATGGACTGAAAATCTGTAAATGAATCTTTGAAAAGGGTAAAGTCAACTATAGCTAGCAGTAACTGATGTTATTAAAGCAAACAAACATTGCCACTTCCAAGTATCAAATAACGCTGCATTCTCAGTTGCAGTTTGCCATTAGCAGAGAKAATAAAAAAATATAATTAATTAATTAATTCTGTTTAGGTTTCTCATTTCTAACTATTGCTGTTGCCCAGAAAATGTACTGTACATTATCCTGTACTTTGTACCCCAAGTCAGTCTTTGGAGACAAATTCATGAAAGAATGTACTTTTCTCCCAAGCGTTTAAACTCATTTCCACCACAAGAGGGCAGCCATCTCTAATAAACAACCGGAGAGTCTTTGCTCTTCAGAGAGAAATAGGGCCAAACTTCAGGAAAGTTCTGCTTGGGAAAAGCATTCAGCAATACCAGGGAAACTGCATACTCTACATAGAAAAGATACTGTGGTTGGCAAATGGAACAGAATATTTAGAAATTTAAAATTTCCCCCAGACTCTTGACTATAGAAGATGATATCCTAAAACCCACAAGGTTCCCATTTCTCAGTTATGAAGGCCTAAAGCTGTTAAGACATCCTCCATGTCATCACCAGAGATTTATTTTTCATCTTTTCTTGGGGTGTGTCCAACAGCTATCAGCTTTCTCTTCCTCCTTAAAAGCAACATACTGATTTAAGTCTCATCTAGGTTTCCCTTTGTTTTGTTTGTAAAATCTTACTGATGACAGAAACAATTGTTAAGTTCTCAATTAAACTTGATAGAGAAGGAAATAGTTTCAGAAGCACAATAAAAACTGCTTTGACTTAAGTGTCTATGAGAAGAATAAGTTTTATTGCTGACTTGCCTGGTGTTCAGTGATTCAGAGCAACAACTTCCATAGCACTGTTTTTTTAAAAAGGGGTAGAGTAGCATATTCCTGAATATTTCCCCTTTCCTTTATTTTCCTAATAGACAGCCTTCCGCTAAAATACCTTATTTGACCTTTATACCTTTAGAAACAGGAGTGCCTAATTCCTCTCTGTGGGTTGCTAATCCGATTTATGTGAACAGAACCTAGAATTATTTTAGCTCCACGATGGAAAAAATAAAGACATGGATAATAGGTTATTATTATTGTTATTAAGCTCCCATTTCAGACTTTTTTCCCCTCCACTTTTCAGGCTTGAAAGTCTGATGCAGAAACTGATTTTACCAATCCTGCCTTTTTCAAAAATCCTCCCCCCCCACCTCACCCTATCTTGGGGCAAGGTGGTGGGGGGTGTTCATCGGGGCAACCTGGTGTTGTTATGCACTGAGGTTCCTGAAACCCTGGGAGGGACCAAAAGAATTCCACAGAGACTCAAGATGGGCAACTTTAGGAAGTATTTCAGCTGAAGGAGAAAACTGATTTGGCCAAAAGTCACAGCTCCTGGGGACCTGGTGGAATGGGGTGGGGCAGAAGGTTCTAAGGTCCCAAACTGGAATTATCTTGTATGCTTGGCTCACTGTGCGTTATTTTACCTTTCTCTGAGCTGAGGCGAGATAAATATCACAAGGCATGAAATGATTGCTACCATAAAAAGGAATAAAATCTCTCCCATCCTGCCTTAACGCTGCCATCCACACACTGCACGTTACACGTGTCATAGCAGAAGACACCCATACCACATACATAGACTATTTACGGAAACGCGGTCTTGGTTCGCCTATATTTGCATACATATATTCACAGAAACATACGCATATATTTTTGTATACTAGATATATTTATTCGAATATAAACACATGCTTTGTGTATGAATATACATGTTATACATAAACGATATTTATATGCATGTAAATGCACACACATGTATTTACATACGTAACTAAGTTCGCATATCCGTATATCTCTGTGTTGTTTCAATAACAGTTTCCATCCTGTTTTTCTTTAACTCTTATCCCACTCCCTAAAACACAAATTGTCCACCCCACGTTTATGCCAAGAAGCCTTGTAACTTGAGTTCTTCTTTTTTAAAGATCATCTATCACCGAAAAACTTCAAACTGAAAGTTGAATAACGGACCCGGTGGGTAAATAGAGGCCTGACCCTGCATTCGTCCTGGATCCCGCCTCCGAGTCTTCCCGAGGGTCCAGCACTTTAGCAGACCTCCCTCGCCAGGGCCCTGTGGAGGCGCAGCGCCCCTCTCGGCGGCCGTGCGCCCCCGCCCCCAGCCCCACCCCGCCGTGGCTGCCCGAGCGCGCCGTCCACACCCCTGCGCGCCACTCCCGCCCGCCTGGGGATCCCCGGCGAGCTTCGCAGCCGAGGGGGAGGTGTTCGGCCGCGGCCGGGAGGCGTCCCCTTTAAAAGCCGCGAGCGCCGCGCCACGGCGCCGCCGCCGCCTGAGTCCTCGCCCTGCCGCGCTGCGCTGCGCTGCGCTGCTCCCGGCTCGCGCTGCGCCCGCCGCTCCGCTTCCCACACCCGGCCAGGGACTGGCAGCCGCCGCGGGACATCCKCCGCAGGCGACTCCAAAGCCCTCGGGGCGAGCGCCACAGGGATCACTGCAGGCAGGCAGACACCCGCACTCCTCAGACCCCGCGCGGGTCGGAGCACCCGGCCGTGCGCGCCGCAGCGCTGTGGCCTCTGCTGCTCGGGCCCCTCAGAGCCGCGGACCGGCGCGCTGAGCGCTGGGGTGTCCGGAGCTGAGACTCAGCGGCGCGATGCCCAGCACCTCCTGTCGGGGATCGGGCGCCTGGGACGTGATGGTCGAGGTGTGATCGGACCCCAGGCTAGCCACAAAAGGCACTTGGCCCGAAGGCTAGGAGAGGGAGGCCACCCGCCTCAGCGGCCCGGGACTCGGTTGKACTCGCTGGAGAATGCGCCTAAGGACGACGGGGCGCCGGAGTCGCGGCAGTTTCCACCGGCGAGCGCTCATGGGGGTGCGCTGGAGTAAGGCAGAGTGATGCGGGGGGGCGACTCGCCTGGCACCGAGATCGTCGCTGTGCCCTTACCCGGACCCGGCGTCGCCCAGGATGGCTGCCCCGAGCCATGGGCCGCGGCAGAGCTAGCGCGGAGCGCCCAACCATCGCCCCCAGAGTCCCGGAGCCGGCCCCGCGCGGGGCCACGCGTCCCGTGGGCGCTGGTTCCTAAGGACGACAACAGCACCAGCTTTTCCTTTCTCCCTTTCCTTCCCTTCCCTTCCCCGCACTCCTCCCCCTGCTCGCTGTTGTGTGTCAGCACTTGGCTGGAGACTTCTTGAACTTGCAGGGAGAATAACTTGTACTCCCCACTTCGCACCGGTGCCTTTGCCAGCACAGCCAGCCTGGTCGCCTCTGAGCCCCGCCGCCCCTCCACCCCTCTGCCGGGCCCAACCCCCCTAGAAGCTGTTCCGAGCTTGAGAAGAGGGACTGCGCCGCCGGCACCCGGGAGGAGGAGGAGGAGGCAAAGGGAACGGACACCCGGTCCCAGCGCCAAGTTCTTCTAACAGAGCTTTTTCCATGTGGAGACTCTTTCAATGGACGTGTCCCCGCGTGCTTCTTAGACGGACTGCGGTCTCCTAAAGGTAGAGGTCGCGGGCCCTGGGCCGGGAGTAAGGTGGGGGTGGGGGGATCCCGTGCTCCGGCACCGGTCGCTGCTGAAGCTCCCCCTGGGGCTGCGACCCGCTCCAAGTCAACGGAACCCCCTCCGAGTCCGCGTGCTGCGGAGCCCCTGAGGGGGCGCCCCAACCAGCAGCCCCAGGCGACCTACCGACTCGCCTTCCTGGCCCACAGTCTTCCGCCCCTCCTCCCTCCCCTCTTTTAGGTATATTATTAAGGCGGTTAGCGCTTACATGATTAAAAAAAATAGTTAAATCCCTTCAAGAGGGTGGACCCTAAATTTCACCCATTCGTTGCCAACCTGTACCCCCTACCACGGCGATCTAACCCCTTCACCTTCCTCAAGTTGCTTAGGGAGATCGGCTCTCTACTCAGAGCTAAGTTATGTYCCATTTCGGAAAGTTGGGATTCTCCGTGTTTGTTTCCAGAAATGCGAAGGGACCTTACTTTAGTGCCACTTTGTATTTTAACAGCTGGCACGTGCATTAATAGATACTAGCCATTGACGTGATTCCAGGAAGATAATTGTGTTTCTCTACTACACTGGAGGGATGCGGGGATGGAATGGCTTGTCCTTCACCCCTGAGGTTAGCGTCTGGTGCCACAACTTCAAAAGTTGTGGGCTTGAGTTTACAGGATCTAGAAGTTACAGTCTCTCTCTCTCTCTCTCTCTCTCTCTCTCTCTCTCTCTCTCTCTCTCTCT